TTGCAGGCCTACTCATTTGTTTTAAAACACAAGAAGGGCGTAGAGAACTAAGCAGCTGATGCATTAAGTCGTCGTGTCTCCCTTTTGTCGATCATGAGTGTCAAGGTCATTGGTTTTGAAAGACTTAAGGAGGATTACGAGGCATGTCCTGATTTTAAAGATATCTTTCTTGATTTACAAAGGGGACAATAAGGCGCCACAGATGGCTTCCGACTTGAGGAGGGTTATCTCTTTAGAGCCAATAAATTGTGCATCCCTCGAACTTCAATGCGAGATTTCATCGTGTGGGAAATTCATGCGGGAGGGTTAGCCGGTCATTTTGGACGTGATAAGACCATTGAGGAAGTTGAACGTCAATTCTATTGGCCTAGCTTGAAGAAAGACGTGGCTAAAATTGTTAGTACTTGTAACATTTGTTAATTGAGTAAGCAGAAGAAGCAGAACACAGGTCTATACACCCCTATCCCCGTCCCTAATTGTCCTTGGCAAGATGTTAGTATGGATTTTGTGTTAGGACTTCCACGCACCCTAAAGAAGCATGATTCTATTTTTGTGGTTGTCGATCGCTTCTCAAAGATGACTCATTTTATCCCCTGTAGCAAGACGTCGGATGCGTCCAAGGTTGCTATGTTATTCTTTAATGAAATTGTCAAATTGTATGGGCTTCCCAAGACCATCGTGTCTGATAGGGACATTCGTTTCACTAGCCATTTTTGGAGAATTTTGTGGCATAAGATGGGTACCAAATTGAAATTTTCTACGGCCTACCACCCTCAAACTGACGGTCAAACTAAAGTAGTTAATCGAAGTCTTGGTAACCTATTACGTTGTCTGGTCCGGAAAAACCTTCGAAATTGGGATTTGATCCTTCCTGTAGCTCATGTTGCGTATAATAGCTCCATAAATCGTTCATTAGGTATGAGTCCATTTGAAGCTGTTCATGGGTACAAGCCTAGGAAACCGTTAGATCTCATCCCTATGTACCCTCAGACTAGAGTATCAGTATCAGCCAAAGCATTTGCACAACATCTTCGTGACTTGCATATTGAGATCAATAAACAACTTGAAGCTAGTAATGCAAAATATAAACTCCAAACTGATTTACACGAACGACATATTGAGTTTAACATTGGGGATTACGTTATGTTACGCATTAGGTCAGAGCGGTGTCTACATGGATCCGCCTCCAAATTGCAAGCGCGTAGTGCTGGTCCTTTTAAAATTTTAAAGCAGGTTGGTCCGAATGCCTATATTGTTGACATTTCACCACACCTTGGTTACCACTCTACTTTCAATGTTGAGGACCTTGTACCTTATAAAGGTCATTTCATTCCCTCAGATGATCCTCTGTCACCTCCTTTTGTGGACTTTGATCTTGATTCTTTGGCCCCTTCTAACCCACTACCACCTCTCACAGCACACAGAGAAAAAATTGATGCTATTTTAAATGAAGAAACTGTGTTCACTAATGATGGAGAGGTTCAGCGCTTCCTTGTTCGTTGGGTTGGTCGACCAGATTCTGACTGTGCATGGATCTCCTGGGAGACACTACAGCAATTGGATCCAGATTTATTGGAGTTTTATCGGAGTCAGCAGGATCTTCCTTGGCCCAGATCGCTTCCCGTCCACCCGAGGGGAGTTGGTGAGGACACCAGGTTCAGACCTCCATTGACACATTTTTACAGACGTCGGAAGAAACTTGCCTAACCACTCAGCTTATGGTTGGGAGATTGATGACAGCCTAAAGTGATCCACTCGACAGGGTCGAGTTTTCTCCCACCCCGGGAGAGTTGATGAGGACATCGGACGTTACTTAGTTTATTTACGCTTTATTTATGCTTTATTTATCTTTTAGACTATTATTTAGGATTTGAACTTGTATGGGCTCGGGCCCAAGCTTGTTAGGGTTGCTTTTAAACCTATTTTACATTATAATTTTCAGTTGATGAATGAACAATAATTATTTGGTGGCTTATGGCGCATCTTTCTCCCTCTCCTATTGAATTCTTCTTCCCCCCCCCCCCCTTAATCCCCCATTCTTTTTGAATCTTCTTTTGTTTCTATTAATCATCCCATTGGTGCTGCATCAATATGTGGGTGATCAAAGATTTATAGAATGGAGAAGCATTATTAAGAATGGGAGAAGGTAATCAGTTTATGAGATACACAGCGGTAGAGAATGGTTCACACCAAAAAGAGAAGGAACAAAAGACTTAATTAGATGGGCTTGAACCATATTAAGAAGGTGACGGTTCTCACGTTTTCCGTCCCGTTTTGTTGAGGGGTAGGAGGGTAAGATCGCCGAGAAATAATACCTTTGGTTTGTAAGAAAGATTAAAAGGCACTAGACATATATTCACCTCCCGAATCAGATCTTAAGACTTTGATCGAGGAGGAAAATTGATTGTCAGCGAGAGCAAGAAAGGCTTGAAAAGCAGGTGAGGTCTTCTTTGCACGAAGAAAATAAATCCATGTGAATTGGTTATAATCATCGATAAAAATAACAAAGTATTTATAATGAGCATGAGATACCACATGTGCAAAACCTCATACATCGCTATGACCAATATTGAAAATATGCAAAGCATGAAAAGTAAGAGACGGGAATGGTAAAAGACTTGGCAAGTTCACATGAAGCACAATCAAGAGACATAATCGAAGCAGCATTTTTATTACGAAGTAAACTCGAGTTTAACAAGTGTTATAGCACATTCGAATTGGAATGTCCCAATTTCTTATGCCAATTAAAAATATCTATAGTGGCAGAATTACAAACAAAAGAAGAAAACGGAACAAGCCTTGTTGAAATGGGAAAGAGACGTCTTGGCCCATTTAGGGACCCTTGATTCTGCACATGACAACTAGAAGAAGAAAATGGGACTATAATTATTATCAAGTTGCCCAACATATAAAAGATAATTTGATAAATAAGGAGAGATAAACATTAGATAAATTTGGTGATATATCCCTTACGGATGAGATAGGAAGGGTGTTACAATCGGCAGTGTATTATTGAATGGTCCAGTATATGGTCTGAGGTCACTAAGCAATTGAGGATCCTGAGTGATATGATTAGAGGCCCCTGAGTCTAATGACCAAAAAGAACAAGTAGATGGTGGATTACCTGAGACACCTAAAGCAGACAAAGCAGAGATAATCATAATTTGTTAAATAATCTTAGGAGTTATGGGACTTTGGAAAGGACTAAGAGAGGCTGAAACTTGAATGAGAATAGGGGACGGAGCAAAACTAGAGGCTAAAATGGCATCAGCAACATAATTTGCTCCAATCTTGTTGGAGGACGAGTGGGGCGCTCCTTAATAACATGGTCATGCTTCTTGCAATAATTGCAAACTTTTCTGGGACACTGAAGAGCCATGTGACCAAACCCCTTACAGCTACAACACTGCACTACACACTAGACGTATCTCGAGGTTGAATTTTTCTGAGCCACATAAACAACATGAGCCGGTGCTACATGATTCTGTTGCTGTTTCAAAGAGGCATGAGTGATAAGGCACTACTCCTCCTTTAGTAATTCACCCAAATAATTATCCAATGATGGAATAGATTTGTGATTCATAAGGCTGGACCTGATAGATTCAAATTTAGTTCACAATTTCAAAAGAAATTGATCCCTCTTAGTAACTTCGTGTACAGCTTGGACAGCATCCAAATTGCTCGGTGAAATCGAAGCATAGATAATATCTGTGCACTCAGCCCAAAGATTAGAGAATCTTGAATAATATTCAATGGATAGTGACTCCTAAAAGAAATTTGCTAATTTAAACTCCAACTAAAATCGCCGAGCATTATTGCTTTAAGTATAGACTTTCTTCAAGAAGTCCCACATGGCACGAGCTAACTTGTAAGGCAGGAGATTAAGAACAATTTGTGCGTCAATTGATCCAATGATTCATGCCATAATTCGAGAATCTTTGGTTTTCCACGCAATTTACTTCTCTTTGTCCTTTTCTTGATGGGGGGTGGAAAACTTTCATCAATATGCCCCTACAGATCTCCTTTTCCTTCAACAAAAACTGAAAATGAAATGTCCATGAAGAATAATTCTTGCCAGCAAAACGAATGCACACAGAATCAGCTATCTCAGATGCCATGATGAAGTTTAGCCCAAATTAATCAAACCTGTAACTTTAAATAATTAAATCAACCTAAAAAAAGGAAAAAAAGGAGGAACATAGACCCAACAACTTTTCTATTAAGACAGCAGCCCAAACTCACTAAGTAGCAACCTGAAAGACAATAAAACAGTATCCCAAATGTCAGGAAAACTCATGAATCAAAAAAGAAAAAAAAATGTCGGCCTTTAGCAGTTCACAGCAACTCCAAGAGAAGAAGAGGCCGCTTCAACCAAGACCCACACTCGAAATACGAGAACCCACCTTAGATGACGTCGAAACCACGGAGATTAACTACAATGGCATCTGAAAACACAAGTTGTGACCTCTGGAGGAAGCGAAGACGCTGAACAGAGATCTGACTACAGGTGTCGGCGTCGAAAACACCAAGAAAAACTACAGATGGTGCCGGAAATGTGAGCGATGACCCTTGACTGAGATGAACACGATGAATAGAAATCCAAATGCTATGAACACTACGAACACGAATAGATTTTGGAGAACCCAAACCACACACTCAGTAAGTAATTTTAGTACCATGCCAATTTTGCTAAATGGTATCTTCTTTCTGCCCGTCTTTTATTTATAGATGTTTACATGAATAATCAAGGAAACAAAATTATGATGGGGTAATATAAAAGTAAAACAATCAATCATGCCTATACAAGGAAAGCTGTAAGAATTACGTAATCAATCACGCCTCTAATATATGTGTAGTACATTTATTTGTTGATTAACATCTCACAACTTTCATATATATATATATATATATTTTATTATTATTATTATATTTTCAATTCCTTTTGGTCTTCATCTATTTGTCAACACTAAATTGATAGTTACTAACAATCCTTTTTCCAGTGGAAACGTGGAGCTTTCAGAAAAATGTTTCCAAGACTTGGTTTTAAAAGAGCAAAATCATCCCGCTGCTTTAATCAACTATGCTGCTGCTCTTTTGTGCAGATATGGTTCAGTTGTTGCAGGTATCAATTTGATAATTGAACAGAATTCTGGATATTCTCCTTTCCATTCCCCCTGTCTATGTTTACTGTTGACAGTATGAACAGATTTTAGGGTAACGTCATTGAATGCATTCTGATAGGACTCCAAATGGAAAAGAGGAAAACGGAATTTGTATTAGTTCTTTGATTGAAACGAAATGCAGAAAATTACAGATATTAAAATGACTATAGAACGCCTTTCACTTAATATTTTCCTGCCCTACTAAGCCTCTCTCCCCTCTTATTTATAGCTATTGCCTAACTACTTCCCCTCCTTTTCCATGTAACAGAATGCTGTTATTCCCCCTTCTTCTAGTTGCTTCTCAATCCTTCTTGTTCCTTCTAGAATGAGTGAGGTGGATGGGAGCTTATAATTACCCTCGGTTTCCAAATCCTCGTTGTCCTCAAGGTGGGTGTTAGGGAAGTGTTGGTGGTGCCAATTGCCTGCTCTTCCATCGTCACAATTCTGGTAGGGAAGATTTTTGCTCTTTTTGAAGCCCCATAACCAGTTGGACCATCAAACATCATAAATTCTGGCTGGTCTGTTCTGCCTTTCATTTTCATTTTCTTGGCAGCCGATCTTAAAACAGAATTTAAAAAAAATTCCACCATGTCACCCATTCTGATTGCCCCTCCTTTGGGCTTACCCCTAATTTCATCTCCTTTAAGTTGTGTGACCCCTTTTCCAGTTGCAAAGTCTTGCAGTTCTCCTTCCAGTTCCGTGACCTCTTTTCTAGTTGTAAGGTCATGCGGTGCCTTCTTCTTGAAGCAATCACCATTGGAATAATTTTCATAACCATGGGGACTTAACCCCTTTTTTATCTTCAATTGAAGCTCAGTTACATAGAGTTGCTGGATAACAGTTGGGGATTTGGGAAGTGATTGTATTAGATACCTTGTAATTGAGATAACCTGATGGATTTTGTCTAGTATATCATCCATGAAAATCCCATAACTAGTTGCACCCCCTTGCGGGTTTTCCAAAAAATGAACCCGCCAATTGGAATACAATGGTGGATAGTCCCACAATAGATCAACAGCGTCCTCCTTGTGCATTCCGCCCTTTTATGGTCCTTGGCACCATTAATCCGATCACCAAATTAATTAAAAATTTCAATGTATCACGAACCTCCACACCATTGTCGGAGTTAAAAATCCCTGCACTTTTGCCACTACCTATCCATCCTAATCCAATATCATCAATTTCCCAGTCTCTGTCTCCTGTCTCGTAATTCTCTCTTTTCATACAACAATGCTTAATGGTGTCATCCACATTACAATGGAGACTCTAATTATTTTGTCCCTTCGTTCGTAATTTAGCACCAAACAGATGTGTGAAATTAATAGAATTTGGTTTTGGGATTGACGGAGCTGAATTGGAGTCATTTCTTGATTGCAGCAGATTAGCATAACTGGGGCTTGAAACTAGAGTAATGTGATGGGTTCTAGGGTTGTAAATAGTTGTTAGGCCATCTTCCTTTTCTTTATTCAGGCCCATTCCTCTTGGGGCTTTAATTAAGCGAAATTTTGCAGCCTACTTGTTGGGCCACCTCTCTAACATAGTCTCAACCTACTAAATTTAGTAATGGCTCTTCCACCATCTTCCCTTGAATCAGCCCATTAACCAAGTCCTCTCTACCGCCTCCAACATCACGCTCTGCAATCATAAACCTGAATCGCCTGTCACCATCTTCTTTCATTGTGTGGGAAATTTTACACAGATGGTGTTAGAATCTCAGAATTCCTCTTGTAATCTTTCTCTAGTTCCTCTGATTTCCGCGCTAATTTGATCAGATTCAAACTCTGAATACTGTCTAGTGTTCCTAGCTTCCCCTGTTTCTTTCTGCCGTTTACCTTCATATTGCGCCCATTGATCCCCTACGTGTACCTTGTGAATATTAGGTGGTAACTGAACCTCTAAATCACTTCCAGATTTATCTCCCTCCATAACTGTATTCATGACTGCCTTTGGAAGAATAGGAGCTGCCTTCAGATTAATCAGTGATGCCACATCTTTCTCAATTGCCTCCGGTGATTGTGTCATCTTGGCCATACTCTGGCTTAAGTGCTCCATTGCTCTTTCCAGTGCAGGTAACCATTGAAGTTCTGTTTTCAATTCCTTCAGCTTCTCCATTGCTTCTACTTTGATTTTTATCTTCTTCTCGGCCATCAGATCGAATGTGCTCTGATACCACTTTGATAGGACTCCAAATGGAAAAGAGGAAAATGGAATTTGTATTAGATCTTTGATTGAAACGAAATGCAGAAAATTACGGATATTAAAATGACTACAGGACTCCTCTTTTCACTCAATATTTACCTGCCCTACTAAGCCTCTCTCCCCTCTCATATATAGCTATTGCCAAACTACTTCCCCCTCCCACCCCGCCAAATAATTTGCCATGTAACAGAATACTGTTATTCCCCCTTCTTCTAGTTACTTCTCAATCCTTCTTGTGCCTTCTAGAATGAGTGATGTGGATGGACGCTATCACATTCTTCCTTTCCCATGTTAATTTTTAGATATTAAGATAATTATTAATCTCACCGTCCATATATAGGTGCTGGGGCGAATGCTGAAGAGGGGACTTCTGCAGATCAGGTTGCAGCTGCCAATGTTGCCAAGGAATGTTTATTGGCAGCTGCAAAAGCAGATCCCAGAGCAGCTCATATATGGACAAATCTGGCTAATGCATATTATTTGACGGGTGATCATAGAACGCCCGGAAAATGCTTAGAGAAGGTTCATTTGGCTCCTTGCTTCTATTGTTATTTTTGTATATATTTATTTGGTTTTTTGTTTTCTTTTTGTACAAAATACTACTACTTTTTAGGTTCCTAGCAAGGTAAATCTTTCCCTTCTAGATTATCCTTTTTCTTCCCTGCTCTCTTCGCAAGTGTTAGTTGATGATGGATTAGTGTCTATTACATTTTCTCCATTTTGTTGTTTTAACAGTCTCTATTCTTTGGATATCTTTGTTGCCCTCTAGGCTGGAAAGCTGGAGCCCAATTGTTTGGCCACCCGATATGCTGTTGGAGTTCACCGAATCAGAGATTCGGAAAGGTCTCAGAATCCAAATGGACAGCTCACCTGGGCTGGAAATGAAATGGCCTCAATATTAAGAGAAGGAGATTCTATCTTAATTGAGCCTCCAATAGCATGGGCAGGTCTTGCTATGGTCCACAAGGCCCAACACGAAATTGCAGCAGGATTTGATATTGAACAAAATGAACTGCTGGAAGTTAAAGAACGTGCTACATACAGTCTAAAGCAGGTTAATTTTCACTTACTAATTTACTTGCTGGCTGCAAATTATATCAAGTATATTTCTTTGATCCAGCAGGATAAATTTAAATGAGAATTAACATATTTGAAGATAAAAGAGAAGTGTGGTCACAGTGGGATTATAGAAGTGAAGGTTGAGTTAATGTTCAGTCCTCCTTTATTTCTCATTCACTCTGTTTTGTTTCCTCATCAATCAGGCTATAGGGGAAGACCCAGATGATGCTGTACAATGGCACCAATTTGGTCTTCATTGTCTTAGTACCCAAGAATTTAAAACATCTCAGACATTCCTGAAGGCAGCGGTTGCTCGTCTTAAGGAATCTGTTTATGGATGGTCAAATCTCGGTAATGGCAACTGTTATCCTTTTTTTTCTTTCCTCCAATGGAACTTCACATTTCTGTTGAATCTCTAAATGTTGCCTTTATGTCCCATTATGTCAATATGCATCTTAGGTATCTCACTGCAGCTATCGGAGGAGTCTTCACAAGCTGAAAAAGTATATAAACATGCCTTGTCATTGGCTACATCGAAACAGGGGCACACCATATTTTCCAACCTTGGAAATTTCTATCGGCAATTAAGGAAATTTGAATTCGCAAAGGCAATGTTTGCGAAGTCACTTGAACTGCAGCCGGGTTATGCTCCTGCATATAATAATCTTGGTCTTGTGTTTGTAGCTGAGGGTCGCTGGGCGGAAGCTGAGTTCTGCTTTAACAAGGCAATTGAGACAGATCCGTTGCTGGATGCAGCTAAATCTAACATGATTAAAGTTGCAACGATGTGTAAATGAAATACAGGCTTGGCTTCATGTATATCTGATTAGTTTGTAAAGTGACGGTACGTAGTTGTTGTGCACACTTATAACATGTTTGATAAGGTGGATTAAAAAGCACTAGACACTATAAAAGGAAACTAAAATCTTGTTTATTGTTATGTCTAGTATAGTCTAATACTGCGTACCAAATATGCACTTAAAGTATAGCAGCATAAATCATTTCATTATGTCCATAAGAAGTTCAGAATCATGCACTTACACAAACAGAGCTTTTGAAATTATGAATTTTTATCAAGACTTCCCTATTTGTTTAATCTCTCAAAATAAAGTTCATTTTTTACGCAGGTGATAGGTTGACAGTGATACAACTCGATGAGCAGTTAACAAATATACCTTAACTCTAAAGGGAGTGCAAGGCAAGTATTGCACCTCTCTTCTGATGTTTTTATGTAGTCGGGTGTCGTCAAGTCAATTCCTTTTGAAACTTTCTTGGTATGTTTCATTTGGAATCATACGCTGAGCATGATTGTGAATATCCGTTTAATTTAGATTCATATGAGATTATTCTCTCTGTAGCATCTCTGTTTGTTTTCTGCTTTCTGCATATTTATATCATGATATAGATACTTTCTTGTAAACAGCATATTCTATGTCGTCGGATGTTCTCTCCATTGTCAAAATTCACCACTTAGCATCATGTTGGGTAGAATTCTTGTATGCTTGACAAATTTGAATAATTGTTAATCTATTTAATCTATTCAAAAATATGTGCGAATAACTTGAGGTCAAGGACGAGTCTTGGGGATGGGTAAAAAATCTTTGGACTATCATATTTTCGTGCTATTATTGTGCTTGAAGGGGATTAAGGCCAAAGGTGGAAGACAAAGTATTGACCTAAGAAAGGATCCCCATATTTGTCTCAGCAGCAGTTTTTTTCCTACTTTGAGTGAGATGAGAAAGTATCAGATTTTGTGGAGTGGGGAATATCATAAAATTCTGTTTATGATCAAATTCAGATTGATGCTATTTACTCAGCGTGTGATAGGTCACGAGTAGAATACTGCTAGAAAGACAAATTTGCTTGAGAATAGGATAGTGGCCTCCTCTAGTGGGATGCATGAGACCGATGTTGGCCCGGGGGGGGGGGGGGGGTTAGGAATTTAAAGCTGCATCTGGGCAGAGGATAAGCATGAGATTAGAAATCTCAAACCGGAGGCCAAGTGGGTTTTAGTTTCTTCTTTTGTACTTCTATACTTCATTTAGGAATGAAAGACCTTGATTGTTCAGTAGAGGAATTGGTCTGTGGTTGCTAATGGTGTCTAATTTGCATGGCGCTGTGCTTCTAAGCCCCTTCATTTCCTAATTTTTCTGTCATTCCCTTCTGCTGGTAATCACAGGATGATCCACTCATGAGCTAGATATTTTGTTTGGTAGTGCTTATAAGTTGTGGCTCTTATGGAATGTGTGAATAATAAACAGGTAGTAAGTAGGGTGCTTTACGAATGTATGGATAAAAAGTTTGTATGATCAAAACATGCTCTTAGATTGTCTCTTGGTTGCTTTACGCAGTTTACGAGGTAAGGATGAGTTTATGTCCACTTCTTGTCTTCCTTGGCTTTGCTTGTTTTAGTTATAATCAAAATATATGCTTACATGTCAGTTGCATGTTTGGTAGGGTGCATTGTATAGTATTAGAAAAAAGTAAGTGGGATTTTTTGTGCACTACCGCATGTATTCACTAGTCACATTTGTCATGCTCGACTGTTTAAGACGAGATCAAGAAAAAGAGACGTGATGATGCCAGTTCTATTCAATTAAATGTCGAAATATGCCAGCATGATAATGTTATTTCACCAAAACGGCTCAATTGATCGACAGAATTCTCTATCACATCCGAGTTTGAACAGCTGAATAAGAGTCAATGGAGGGGAGAATTTTCATTGGAGCCTAGTCAAAGGGATCATTTTAGGAAGAAGCCTAATATGAGTAACAAAAGTCTCTTTTATGTAAAAAAAGACTTCTTCATTTCAAAGATAACCCATTTGAATTTCAAATTTGGGGATGGGAGGATTTCTACACGAATTGTGCTGGAAGTATAGGCTCGACATTTACAAGCATCCTACAGATATCTCACAACGGGTGGGTCAGTTTTTTTTTTGGTCATTTTTTATTACATGAAGTCCCACATGGCTCGACCACCCATGCGAGTGTCCTGTAGGAGGTCTGTAAGTTGTTGCCATGTACACTCAGTTTAATTGTTTCTACACGGACAGGGACACCAATCCACTTCTCAAACACAATTTATTTTTTTGTACGAGTCTTTGAATATCAAAGCAAGTTTACATCTTAATAGGTAAATTAAAACATAAAATGCATTACCCAAGTACGTTATAAGATAAAATTAAAATTAGAGCCTAACCAAACAAAATGAAGAAAACAACCATTAATATAGACTCCACAATACAATATGATCGATGAAATGGAGATGGAAATGAGACTTGATGAAGAAACCTTTAAAGGATCGGCTTGTGATAAGTCACATCATTCTCATGCCCTCGTTGGGCATGAAATCCATGGTCTCCTCTAGGTCGAGCTTCATGTCTATATATGCAAGATAAAATCCGTCAAACTCAAAGAATAACAAATGAGGTGCGTGCAATTATGAAATTAAAAGCAATATATGGGCCAACACCACCGGTCGCCAATCGAATGACAAAATTTTGTCTGATGTTGAACGGCCCATCCAACGATGGGTTAGTCGACTTGTTCGTCCGTCATTTCCACTTTCGTCGAAGGATGAAGTAGAAATAGTTCCATACATAATAGTGGAATGAAATGAATGACGCTACCTCTTATTGATGACATCAGTAAGATTTAGAGGGGCTATTGATGTTAGATGGCATCAATAATTATCTACGATGGCTAACAAGGTGAAGACTACTCAATAGACACTCTACATAAAGCACCCATACTAGGCTGTCTACCACTACAAGGCCCTCTACTTGCTTGTTAATTCGTCTACCATTATGAGGCCATCTATATTCATACTAGGTCGTTTACCATTATGAGGTGCTCTACATTCATAATAGGCCTTCAACCATGTCTACCACTAAGAGACCTTCTACGTTTATACTAGGTCGTCTGCCAGTGTGAGGCCCTCTACGTTCATAATAAGTCGTCTATCATTATGAGGTCATCTATAGACTACATTCATACTAAACCGTCTATCACTACGAGGCCCTCTACTTTTATGCTAAGCCATCTACCAACACAAAGTTCTCTACTTGCATGCTAGGCCATCTACTGCTACGTGGCCTTCTACATCCACGCTGGATCGTATACCACTATGAGGCCCTATACGTTCATACTAGGCCGTCTACCACTATGAGGCCAATACAACACTAACCATAAAAATATCTTTGAATTGGATGGGAAGCGTTTAACGATTATCATGGACACAATCAGTTGCTAGATAGGTGGAAGGTGGGAGATGCTACGTGCCTACGTGGGACACGCGACAGGAATTATCTCCTAGTAGTTACATGGCTTCAGACACCTATAAATACCCCCAAGGCGAGATATGTATCCGTCTGGAAATTTTGGCTGTTTAAATACACATTCTAAATTTACGTTCCTAAATCCCATAGTAATTTTCACAGTGGAGGTACAATAGGGGAGAAAGCCCCAACCTCATTTCGCAAGTAATATTTGTTCATCGAAGTATCAGAAATACCTTTTTTCCTCCAGGAAGACACGTCAGGTTGTTACATAACTATTTCAAATTATAATTTCATCAAGTCTTTGTTTGGTTGAGATAAAAATTAGAATTTATTTATTTATTTTTATTTTTATTATTATTATTATTATTATTATTTTTTTATAAAAGTTAATAACTTGGGTTGTTGAAAAGCTATAAATATCATGAAATGTGTAATCAAAATTAAATGTTTTTACTTTGAATTGAATTTTAATTTACCTTTTTAGTGAAACCAAATTGGGATTAAATATGAACTATTTTATTACAAATGTTTAAATTTAATATTACTTTATAATAAATGAATATTCATATGATTAAAATTAAACTCCCTCATAAAGAAAGGAAAAATTGTAGCTAGAGTTCCAAACATTTTCCAAAAGTGCATTGAGGTCCGATGGCTTTTATATTTGACATCGCCACCCTAGATGTTTGCATATGTACTCAACACAAGGACCTTTCAAGTGGATTCCATCTACGAAGTAGTTATATGAATAACACATTTCAAATGTGCTCGAAGAGTAAAATTGTCTTTACACATTTTCATCTGGGAAAGAGAAATCTCATTATTTTCATACGTTGTTTTTTTTTTCTTTTTTTTTTAAATTGCCAACACCAAGATTCGGGGTTGAGAAATGATAGTTTGGGGAGGGTGTATCGGTGACGGGGCAATGACGACGATGACGATGTGTGGGATGTGGTGTCATATGTTTGGGTTGGGGGAAGATATTTATTAGGGACACAAGTGATATGACAAGCAAAAATTAAAAATCTTAAGTGCAACTAAAATGTGGTAAAAGAAATGAAAATTGTGGTGTGAATATAATTACCCTTATACAAATTATGTATTTACTTATTTACCCATCTCAAAAGTTGCAAGTTCAACTCACGCACCACAAGGTTTTTCGGCAATGCATAGCGTTACAAACCTTCGGGAAATCAATGACAAAAATAAAAGTTTGGGAGCTTCGGCTGCAACTTTCCCTAAATATACATAGTTACAGCCAAAAACTTGTAACTTTTTCGTTGATTAGCAGTTTTCCATATCAAAATCAGTTTCTCTTTCACACAAAACTCTTCAGTACAATTTACATC